TTTAGTTAGTGGCACTTCAGCAGGGGATCACTCAGCTTCTGCAACAGCCTAATTTCTGTAAATCTTCAGCAGTTGTAGTCATTCTTGTGTTTGCTAAGGTTGGTTTGCTATGTCGGCCATCTTGAATCAGGCTGATGCACATCTAAGCATTCTCATTTGAGAGTTTCATTAGAATCTGCTCTCTTCATGGTGGATTTCTAGTCAACGTAAAGATGATTGTAAAATTCTGTTTGTTTATAGAAATATGCACAGACTGGCTCCAGAACACACATCAGAATGGTGCTGCTCTTATTCAGGTTCTACGCCATCTACATGGGTCCTTTTTGGAAGTTTCACATTCTGAATCTGAGAGTAACGGAGATCTGGTGAAATCTGTGGAATGATCTGACTTTAAAATTTTTTTTTATTAATTTGATATTTTGGCTTTTTAATGAATCTGATACTTAATTCTTCTGGTACTTTTAACTTCCGTCCGTCCGTCCGTCCGTCCGTCCATCCATACATCCATACATCCATCCATCCATCCATCCGTCCATCCGTCCATATATCCATACATCCATACATCAATTCAGTATCTTTACCTGCTTCTTCCTTTTTTGGGTCATGGGGGTCACTGGTGCCCATATCCAGCCATCACTGTGCAAGAGGTGGGAGACATCCTGGACAGGTCTCCAGTCCATCACAGGGACACATAGAGACAAACCATTCACTCTCTCACTCACACCTAGGGACAATTTAGAGTCACCAATCAGCCTAACGTGCATGTTTTTGGTCTGTGGGAGGAAACTGGAATACCTGGCAAAAACTCGTGCATGCACGGAGAGAACAAGCAAACTCCACCCAGAAAGGGCCCTGGCCGAGATTTCCTTCTCGCTGAGAGGCAACAGCTCTACCAACTGCTCCACGGTGCCGCCAGCTTTTAACTTCGTTTTATATTATTTTATTTATTTATTTATTTATTTTTGTTTCAATGGCGTATATTTTTATTTAATTATTTGTATGGCTTTGATTTGGGGATTTATTGTACAGCACTTTGGTCAACTCTGGTTATTTTAAGTTGAATTGATTTGTGCAGTTTGAGATATTTTGCTAATAAACAAACACCATCACCGTCACGGAGCTGACAGAAACTCCTCAGAGTAAACGGCCAAACGTTGTTCTTTAGAATAAATTCAGTCACTGACAGACATGAATGTGTTTTTTGATACGGGTATATATTTTTGATGCTTTTCTGTTCAACCTCAGCTGTGAGCGTTTTAGCTTCCTGCCAAAGAAAAGTTGGAGCTGTGGAAGGCAACCTTCCAGCTGGAGGACGCCCAACCTGAACCCCAGCCAGCCCAGAAAACACATCTGGAACTTTGACCCATTTCGGAGCTGAAATCTCACCTGACGGTAGAACAGAAAGCCGAGTTCTGAACGGTTCACGTTTGAAGGTTTTCAACAGCTTCTCCAGACGCTCGCCGGGTTTGACATCTTGTTTTATTTATTTTAACGTGTTCGCCTGTCGCTGCTCTCAGGTGGTTTCTCCTAACACAGGATAAGAATGGTGACAAACTCCAATTCACACGACATGTACAGGAGTAAAGATTCAATAGATCTGCCTGAGACAGGCAAATGAAGTTAAGGTCCATAATGAATTAAGTTGAGGAAACCAAACAGAACTAGAGGATGTTTTTAATCATTTTATGCATGATCAGATTTTACTGCAGATGTTGTACCCAGTACGTGACTCTTTAATATAAGGGGCATGGCACTGAACAGTTAAAATGCTTTATGGCCCAAATACGTTCACACTCTCAAGGAATCTGGTTCCATTTGTCAGCGCCGCTGCTGAAAACGAACAGAACAACAGATTAAGAGGCAGAGGATCAGGACAAACAGATACTATCAGATAAAAATGACAAAGACCCGTCCACTGCTTCAGAAACTGATGGGGGAGAAGAAACAACTTGGTTCTGGTTCTGCAGAGTCTGATTTGGTTGCATGAGTTCCTGTTCAACCTCTGAAGGGACAACAATAATTTTACCCTCTTTACTTCCTGTATTTTTATTTTTATTTTTTAATAATTTGACTTCCTAAACTTTGTTGAAGCTCCAGCTTTGACCTTTGTCTCAAAGTTCACCTGCTGACCTCAGTAGGACAGGAAGCTGAGGCCAGAACTCAACAGAACCACATTAACGGCCACTGTAAGGTGTGCGATAAGGTTTTTGCCCATGTCGCTGTGTTCTTCTGTCTTGTTAGCTAAATATGTCATAGACCATTGAACAGATTTAAATTAAACTCTCTTTTTAGGGTGCTGTGAGTAAAACTGAATTTGTCAAAGTGAACACTTGTCTAGTTGGACACTTAGAGAGGCAGGCGATCATGTAAGTACATTTATCTGTGTCACTGGATGGATTTTAATGAAGATCTGCAAATCACAATTGAATGTGCTAATTCAAGATGGCCTCCACAGCTAATTAACCTAATTAACAAACAGTAAAATGGTGAAAAATCAGTAAATTCTACACAATTTTGAGCTAAAATTAGTTGTAGCAGCTGAAAACCATCCCCAACACAGACTTTGAGGGATAACCAGTTAAATTGTTTGTTTAAAAATTTAAGTACAGAGTATTTATTTATTAATTAACTGCTGGATTCAATTGTGTTGTCTGTTAGCAAAATATTTCCTGAAATGTTAGTGAAACACTACAATTGAACGCAAGCTAGCTAACTGACATTACAAAGTGTCTTTAACTTATTTATTTTACAGATTTTTAGCTAAATTGTATTGTGGTAAAAGCTTTGGGTCATTCTCAACAAATGATGAGCTCGAGCAGATTGAGCTGCCATTTTGTTTGAGATTGTGCATATCATTGTTTTCACAGCTTCACCGCAACAAAAACAGCTCTGTTGTTTCTTGATTGAGAATTTCTGTTATGAATTATTACATTATGGCTGAGAACATCTTTCTTTAATGTGTTCACAAAACATTCTCTTGTCTTGGCCTAAAGGCCAGATCACTGGCTCGCAGTGCCTCACTGGTATTGACGCCATGAGAACATGCCCAAAATATTCTCTGATCCAGCTGTAGTCCGACTAGCTGACAGCCATGGATCTGACTGCAGCTGGCTATGAGGGAATGCCTGCTGGACTCAGCTGCTGTATAAAAGTCTGCAGCTAACTCTGTTCGGTGCTCATTCAGTGACATGATCCATGCATTGTATATCCGTGTAGTCTGTTTTGAATAAGTCCTTGCAAGTAAAAGACCAGTTAAAATCTTCTTCTGTCCTCAGAGTAGCTTATTTAAGTAAGTGGATAAAAAAAGGATATTTATTTATCCAACATATGGTCCTTCGAGCCGGATCCTCTCATTTCAGGAGATCAATCCTCCCTCATGCATGGTATCAGAGCAGCCTGGCACTCCGGGGCAATGTTGGAGCCAGACTCGACTAAATCAACTAAATCAACTTAATTTGGTTTAGTTTAAAACTCAAGCGCCACTTCATGCACTCCTTTAATCCCTGCCTGGCTATCTTATATTTAAGTTTAATTTATATATTTGTTGAACTATTTACAAAATAACCACTAATGAAAAGACTAAACTTAGGCATGTCAACTCATAGTCGGTATCAGAGCTACAGATAATTTTGGACATTTTATTTCCTAAATTAAGACTAGCTGACAGTCTTATTTAACTTTTGGGACAATGGTTCATATTGTTGGACGTTCCTCACAATAAACAACAAAAGCTCTGTAATAAATTGTCATTTATAAAAGCATTGATCGGTGCAGCATTAACTGTAGAGTTGGTAAATAAAACTAACTTTATAAATATCAGTTTGCTTTAGCTCTTTGTTTTAATTAGACTGGTATCCTGCAGAAACAGTAACATCTTTCAATTAACTCATGACTCGAGACACGTCCAGATTTGTAATCGATTAGGCCGGCATATTTCAGAGTGCAGCCTGAAGCCTCAGATGTTCGATTATCTCTCTGCTGAAGCAGGAAGTGAAAAAAACAATGATCTGTGTGGCTTTCAGGCGCCTTTTAGAGTTGTCCTCAAACACCTCGGCTGTATTTTCAGCCGTGTTCGTTTATTTAGAAGTCAATTTTGGTGTCTAATGTAAGTGCCTGCTTCATTTGTTTCGGCTAATAAAGCCTGCGTGGATAAAAAATGTTCATTACCTTTCAAAGTTCACTGGGTTTTTATCTGTCCTGTTAAGAGGCTTTTAAGCGCCTTGTTAAGTTGCACATTAATCCCCACCGTATTGATCTCACACGGCCGCCTGAAGACCAGCCAGATATCATATTTTTTTTAAACTTCTTCCTCCTGCAAAATGCTTACCTGGTAATTATTTTTGAAATGCTGGACTTTCTAAACCTCTTTCTAAACATTAGCGATCGATATTTGTGGATATTTTTCTACTCTCTGTCGTTATTAGCGTCTCTGCAACAATTACTGCAGAGCGGCGTGCGCGCCTGCTCCTTATTCATCATGTGACAGAGCGATTCAGCTCTGATCTTCTCTAATTGTGCTAGTTTCCATCTTCTGCTCGCTTATTACTGCTAATCTGACTCCCATCTGTGTGAGTTTTTCAGTCAATACTTTGCAGAAAGAGTGTTTGATCTGGCAGATCAGGTATTGTCTGCCGTTCGGCTGTATTTTCACCACTTTATTCATGTCAAATTGCTTATTTCCTTTGATACGAGTGGTGGAATAATAAAATCTGAAAGTGATGATTTCACTGCGACTATAAAGACAGAACTTTCTTTAGTTTTTTGTTTCACATTTGACGAGCCAGAGAAGAACAAACACAGATGAAGTCATGATTCAAAAATAACCTTGTGTCCTTTTCAGCACGCAGCCGTACGAACATCTCCAACATCCCTCCCTCTCTCATCCTCCTCCTCTCTTCTTCCTCCTCACCCGTCAGGTCTTACCCCTGCCATAAATGCAGTTGTTGGTATTTCATGACTATTTGCATTCCGCCTCAGCTCTCAGTTTCTGCGTGGTGCAGTCGTGTATACGTGTCTGCAAGCAACGCTACGAGTTTTCCAGATTCCTTCTTATCCAGCGATTCAGGGAACATTATAGAGACAAACAAACAACGAGTCTCTGAACCCAAACAACATGTAGACTTTTAAAATATTAACGTCTGAGTCTCATGTCTAAAAGCCGTGCTGTTACGTTTCACCGCCGCTGTGGATCCTCACTCGTTGTGTCTCTCTCTGATCTATTCTGTTACACAACCTACTGCTGCTGAAATGATCAACTAGATATACGGCATACGTTTAAATAAGAAAAATGCTTTTGGATGTGTGTTAAAGTGGGCAAGAAAATATTGTGCACAGCCTAGAATACAGTTTTGCAACCGGTGCACTCAAAAGTGGGTTATGATTGTCAAAAGTCATGGCGTGCTGCTCACTGGGTTGCAAACGTGAAGAGTTAAGGACATTTTTATTTGAGTCACCAAGTGGTCTCCAACAGCCGCAGCCCAGCGAGATACTACCTTAAAGGTTAATCAACTGGAGACCGCAGATTTAAGATGGACACTTTGTTTAATATGCATTGGGGCCTCGTCCTCAGTAATGAGGGCGTTTTTTGCTCAGTCATGGTGAAGAAAAGTTCAGTCGAAAAGCTCTAGATTTACTGGTCTATATGTTCCAGCTCTCCTGAGGTGACCAAAAGAACCAGATCCTGGATCCAAGTGGATAAAATGAGCTTCCTTCTTAAGGTGGATGGCTCAGCCTTAGAGTTATCCAGGGAGATTTTAGAATAGAAGTGCTTCTGCATCGAAAGGAGTCAGTTGGGGTGGTTCATCTGACCAAGATGCCTCCTGGACACCTCCCTTTGGAGGTTTTCCGGGCACGTCCTACTTTTAGGGAAGACCCAGAACTTCCTGGAAGGATTGTGTATCTTCTCTGGCCTGGGAACGCTTCAGGGTACACTAGGAGGAGCTGGAAAGTGTAGCTGAAGAGAAGAAGGTCTGTGCATCTCTCCTGGTTCTGCCTCGGTGAGGTGACTACAGATAAGTGGTAGAAGGTGGAGATGGAGACTTTGTTTAAAAGTTTTCCAAGATCATTTTACGTTTTTTTAATCATTCTTTGTTCAGTTCCTAATTATCCTGCAACATCCAAAGTGTAATAAACACGGAAGGTGTTTAAGTATGGAAGTCGTGATTTAGATGAAATGGTGACATTGCAGATGGCTCGTTCATGTCCTGCCTCCTTTCACCTGCGGACACCTTTCTTATTTCAGAGACGAACCTTTGTCCCTTTAACCACCGACAAGAACGATGACCTGTCTAAACCAATTGATCTCTCTGAACTGGCAGCTCGATGACACATTTCCATTTCTGTTTCCTCCTCCGGCTCAATATTCAGGGATACTTGTGAAGGTCAGGGTGGTAGACATCAGTCACCGCCTGGAATTTTTCCACAAAAACATCCAAAGCACCTTTTTTTTTTTTTTTACTTTGCGATGTGCGGTCCATCTGCAGTATTACCTCATCTCTGCAGTCATCTTATCTTTAATCTTGTTCCATCTTGTGTGTCCTGAATATTACTGCAAAGATGTCTGACGATTCTAATTTATCTCAGAAGCAAACAGAATTCATAGTTTTAATCAGAAGTGGAGCATTCATGAAGCGGAGGCGCCACTTGTCATTGTTCACTCTGACATGCTAGATGTTAGAAAACAAAGACTGCAAAGTGTCCAGAAATGTTAATATAATAATTATGATGTTGAAGGAATATGAAACCTGTCACGCCAGCACCAGCTGAGGACTTGATGCCACTCAGGGCTCGCCTCACAGAATACGTGCAACAAATGATGAGGGTAGTGGCATTTTACCACAACCGATCGAGCAGTAACAGATAGATAGTAATCAAACATTCTTTTTAAAAGATCTTCTACTTTAGATACATTTATAATCCAAGTCTTCCATCGTATCATAATTCAGAGGATTTTATTCGTTAAACCATTCTGTAAATAGAACAGTTTGAATTATGTACAGTAAATTATTACTCAGCGCTAAAACTCGGATTATTATTCCCAAATTTCATGTGTTAGTTTCATTTTTGTTGCGTTAATTGTTTGTTGGTTTTATTGATATTATTATAGGTTTGTACATTTCTGTAATGAATGGTCTCACTTGTTGGGATCTGATGAACGTTAACTAACCTAAACTTTGGCCATGGCTCCTCAGACGAGTCGACGGGGAAGAGGGCGGACTCTAGAAACCATCTCATCTCCATCAAACTGGTTGGCCCACTATGTGACTGTGCTACGTATGGTACTGAGTTTTTTGTGGCTTCTCAGGACTGATGAAGTCTTTTGAATGAAGAATGAAACATCTCAACAACAATAAAAGAAAAGAAATCGTCAAGAGGATCTGACTTAAATTAGTTTGATTTTTTTTTTTTACCTGAATTGTTGAGCATGAACTTTGATAATCTAAATATTATTGATTGATATGTTCCATCTGGAGCCCAAACTACCACTCTTCTTTGGTCTCATTATAATGTTCTGCAGATAATCTGAATGTTTCCTGTCATGATTATCTCATCACCCGTCTTCATGTTTGTGTTCACGTGCACACTTCTGTTCCACCTACCTGCTCTCTGTCTTCAGTCCTATTAACCGCTGATTCTGTCCAGTTTTACGGATTTCTGTGTGTGATGCAAAACTAATTCAGTCTCACCACTTCCCTCTGCCGTTGCCTGGAAACAAGTCCACTCTTCCTGTTTCAAGTTGGACTGGATGTTGTGTTCCGGGAATAATTTAGATTTAAATGAAAGTCCTCCAAGGCCCTTTTATTCTTGAATTATAAACATGATAAGGTGCTTGTTCCTCTGCTTTCCCCTACTTAAGTCAAATATAGTTTATTTACAAGCAGGTCAGATAGGTCCTTTTATAGCTTTATGTAATTCTTGTGCATTGATTTTGAACTGAGCAAAGATGCACATCCACACCCTGTTTGTTAGCAAAGTATCCCGAGAAGCACTCGAAGAGTTTTATTACAACTTTCTTAATTACTGCATCTGCATTTAATCTGAGAACTGTTGGAGACAGCCTGATTCAAGATGGCCGCCACAGCCAGTCAGTAGTAACAAACAAAAAAGTGACCATAACTCAGTCATTTTTATGGACAATGAGATAAGGTCAAGGTCTGATGAAGTGGTAGCTGAGAGTAGTCCCCGGAACATCTTTAGTAACATGTAGTCATTTAGAGAAATCTACTTTGACTGAGGTTTGTTTTTGAAGGTTTCAGGACTGTCTGAAGGTCAGGTCTAAAGGTCACGTCTAAAGGTCAGGTCTGAGGTGGTCAGGTCTGGAGATCAGGTCTGAAGGTCAGGTCTAATGGTCAGGTCTGAAGGTCACGTCTAAAGGTCAGGTCTGAGGTGTCAGGTCTAAAGGTCAGGTCTGGAGGTCAGGTCTAAAGGTCACGTATAAAGGTCAGGTCTGAGGTGGTCATGTCTGGAGATCAGGTCTGAAGGTCAGGTTTAAAGGTCAAGGCTGGAGGTCAGGTCTGAGGTGTCAGGTCTAAAGGTCAGGTCTGAAGATCAGGTCTAAAGATCAGGTCTGAAGATCAGGTCTAAAGGCCAGACCTGAGGAGGTCATGTCTGAAGGTCAGATGTGATGAGGTCAGTTTTGAATGTACAATTTGAGGGTCAAGTCTGAGTAGGTTAGAAGTGAAGGTGAGGAGTTCAGGTTTAAAGATCAGGTTTGAAGAGGTCAAATCTGAGGAGGTCAGCCCCGAGAAAGTCAGGTCTAAGAAGGTCAGCCCCGAGGTCAGGTCTAAGGAGGTCAGCCCTGAGGTCAGGTCTAAGGAGGTCAGGTCTAAGGAGGTCAAGTCTGAAGGTCAGGACTGAAGGTCAAGTCTGAGGATGTCATGTATGAAAGCCTGAACTGATGATCAGGTCTGGAGGAGATCAGGTCTGAAGGTCAGGTCATAAGTTGGTCAGGTCTGAAATTCAGGACTGACGGTCAGGTCTGAAGGTCAGGTCTGAAGGTCAGATCTGGAGGTCAGGTCTGGAGGTCAGGTTTGAATGAGGTCAGGTCTGAGGAGGTCAGGTCTGAAGGTCAGGTCTGAAGGTCAGATCTGGAGGTCAGGTCTGGAGGTCAGGTTTGAATGAGGTCAGGTCTGAGGAGGTCAGGTCTTAGGAGGTCATGTCTGAAGGTCAGCTCAATAGACGCTTACCATAGCTCTTTGGTTAATCTGAATTTAACCGCATCTCCTCGTCTTGTTGTCCCGTCATAGCGGAACCAAGAGGAGGAAATTGAAATACTCTCCGTCCGTCCATCTTGTGAGCTGAATAACTTAAAAAATAAGCAATAAACCAACTTCCATTTTAATGTGGTGCTTCTAGGTATACAAAAAATTACTATCAAAATATGGGTTGCCAGCTCAAAATCCAAGATGGCCACCTATATAAATATATGTAAACCAACCGCCTCTATCATTTAAGAAGTTCATGCTTTCTATATTTTATTTTGCTTAAAAGTTTAGTCAATCCCTCAGTGAGGGGGAAAATCAGCTCGTTACATTTTGCTTTTTTTGACTTTTCAACTTCATTTTTTAGTTTAGTGCTGCAAGAAGTTGGACAAATAGTGTAATAACTCTTGTTTTTAGGTTAATTAGACATCGTGTCCACCTGAAGTGTGTTAAAAATGTCACGAAGACACCACAAACACCAGTATTAGTGGTTTGACATGAAGTTGACGTGCTAAAATGCTCAAATGTTGTTTCCTTTTGATTAGCTGAGCTCAGATCAAAAGCAGCAGCTTTCCTTTCAGCAGGACGTTCCTCCACTGATTTTTCTCCCATGTCACTTTCCTGTCGTCGTCTCAGAACAACAAAACGACTCCTGAATACGTTTTCTTTGATACCTTCTGAAAACACGCTGTTCTCGTCAAACGCACCAAAACAATAGTTGTTTTATTAAAATTAGCTTCTTTTTTCGTTCGCATTTGATGTGCCACTTGGATTGATTTAGTTTATTATCCATTTAAAATACTCTTTGAAGCTTGATTAACGTGTAACAAGCGTTATAATTTGTGTCTTACAGTTTTGCATGTATTTAATTCAGAATTTCCCTTCTGATTTTAA